ACATCTCTGTAATGCCCCTCGAGTGTTTTGCTGCTGCGCTGGCTTCCGTGATTCTACACACTTAAAATGCCCGCCACTAGTAATGGGCAATGAATCCAACTACTTACCAAGTCGAACTCACTAATTATTTGACCAGCAAATCAATCAGCTGACTTGCCAATGTACTCGTTGATTTAATCGTTTAAGGGGCCACAATGTTGCCGGCGTGAATAATGAGCAACAGTGCGGCCACCCAGGCAGGGCCGTGATGGTCGCAAGTTCCTTCACTTTGTCACCAAAGTTGTGCGGATAAGCTTCCCAGGACGGATGATTAATGCGCCCACAACTCCTCCTTTTTAACGACGTAAATGAAAGACATTATTTTGAGACAGAGTACAAAGAGCTCAAGTGAAGTGAACGAAAAGTAGAGTCGTTGCAAGCACGGAGTTTAGCCTTTCAGTTTGGTTTATTTGTTTGTGCACAGTACTTATACACCGCCTCGTTCCCGAGCGAACATGGTATTCCGCGTGCAATGACTTCCCTGCTGAGTAATGATCTCAAATGTCCCTTTGTTCTGGTGACTTAAAGCATACCACATGGGAGGCACGATGTAAATTATACACCACGATGACGATGATGATGATAGTTCACAAATTACGTGTAGCATACATGCACTTTTCAACTATTCCCTTGCCAAGAATGTATCCCTAAGGCCTAACATTGGTCTGATGGCTCAGGGGTTAGAAATCTGAGCCTGTCATCACTGAGATCCTGGATTTAAATTGGAGTTTTAGCCACCTGCGATTTAACGCGAGCTTTCAAGTGAAGGGAGTTTCAGCGCGGTGACAAACGACTGCACAAAAGAACAATCGGATTCACTGAATATGGCGAGATACTTATTGGTATATACACATGTACGTTGAACTTATTTCACGCCTTACATAGCCGACCGTGCTAATCGGAGGTGCAGGGGGAAGGACAACTTATTGGATCATGACGAACATTCCTCTGTCAACGGGGCACATGGGAAAGATGGTCCCCTATTATGTAGATAAACGAGGCCACCTGCAATGGATCTGAGAAATAGTTCTGTGATATCTGCTTCCACCGTGGTCATTTCCTGACCCACGGGGTGGTGTGCAGAAAGCAGCGCATCACCCCGTGTGCCAGGAAATGGCCACTTTGTCTCATGACATGACAGACGTAATACAGATATAATACAATTGGGCAAAAGGCAAATGAAAAAGTTCTGCCCTTTAGAATATTGGTGGACCAGGTGTCTCTATTTTATACGTGCAGTGGTTAATGCAATGAACCCGGTGAGTTCGATTCCTGGCCACAGCTCTCATTGATCATCTGGACTTTTTATTTTCCTCCCAAACCACCCCCGTCCCCGCCTCCACTAACTTGCACTGACCAGCATGGTGAAGTATGGTCACACAACTCCCATAACCGACACGACACAGAGATAGAGGTCGTTGTCTCATAGTTGACTGACCAAGGGCTATACATGGTCTGTATTTTCTGACCCAAAACATCATCCCAGAGAGGGAGTGTCAAAACATTCGGATCGTAGGAGGGCAGCGGTTAATTTGCATCCTTCTCTGCCGCAAATATAGCACGTGGCCTTCTCACCCACGGCTGGGCAAAGTGATCCGAGCCCTGAGGCTCGTTTGCCTCGTCTCTCCAGTGCATCTCCACCGAAGAGACGAGACGAACTCTAATGACTCCGACAGCCCGCTCTGGCGGTCTGCCTCGGCACACCGCGTGGAATCCCGTGACGCTTTTGTCGTCATTGCCACGCGCGTCACGGCACGGTTATGCAACCGCGTAGCTTTCCGCGGTTGTCCAGCAGTTGTGCTGTACCCCCCCCCCCCCGATGCGTTTTCTGGGTTTTTTCCGCATCTGTCGTCCATCGCGATGTCCGGACGTTCCTCTCCGCCTGCTGCTCGGAGCTTTCTGCTGGGAACTGAACCTCGGGAGCTGAATGGAGGAAGCTCCCGGTGCGTGCAGAGAAACGTCGGACATCGTGCCGAACATGGCATTTCAGTTTCCTGAAAAAGCTGTCAGAACGTGGAGCGAAACGTCGGACGGCGTGCCGAACGTCACGTGGGACGACTCGAACACCCAGCGGAGAGCAACGCCACCTCGCGCGTGACGTCACGTGATGCGCTGGCGGTGTGCTCTGCCCGGCTTACGTCCTACGAATAGCCATGCACGGCCATTTCATTAGTTGGTCTGCGGATGGCGCGCCTAACAATTGCAGCAGCTTTACATGAGGCATGCGTTTAATTGCGAAGATGTAAAGAAAAAAATACAAAGGCGTGCTCCCGCACGCACGCACGCTTCTGAGAATGCCGAATTACGTGGCTTGCAATTACAATGCACGCACCAGCGTATTCACGCCATCACCACACTTTCTGCCCTGCGGCGTGGTGTCGCGTCGTGCTGCATTGCCGCACAAGCATGATCGATGTGGGGGCGCTGAGCGGCGCTGCGCGAGTCGCCAATTCGCGCTTGGCCACTTTGCGCTCCTGCGTTGTGTTTCTGTATCATTGCCGGTATTCTCGTATGTGTACGTGTGCACGTCTATTTGCGCCGTGCTATGAGCCGGGTGGCCCGAATTATTTATCAGAATCAGAATTTTCATTGAGACTGGAGGAATTCGATGGGATATGAAGCTTTCTCTCACAGATAGCTAGTCGGATTTCATGACCACTGCTAACGTCAGTGGGCTTTACCTGGTAAAATACATTTTTTATATATTTTGAAAAAATCGATTTGCTTACCTTTCCTATACTTTGCACGCCTAACGTGTTTTTGTACTACTTGTTCTGTGTAACGTTCTGACCCCGTGCCCCTACTGGACATCTGTGAAAAAGAGCTTTAAAGCTCATCGGATTCCTCCTGCAGTATAAATAAAGATTCTGATCTTGGTTGTGGCGCGTGTCCCTGCGTTCCGTGCTCCTGGAACGGTCCCCTCGTTTTTTGCGCTCGGGTTTATACATCCATTTTTTAAAGGATTCCGGCGCGTGGCCGGCGATGTTTAGGAGGGCAAAGGGGGCTTTAGGCGTCGCAGCCATTTCTGTTAATCCACTGCAACGGAGGGGAAGGTGGGCACGTGAAGAGCTGCGTGCGTGTCTTCGGTCGAGAGCGACCTCACGCTCGGACAAGGGGGGGGCCCAGGGGGGCGCAGGGCCTGGAAGTCGTGGACGTTAGTGGGGGGGGGGGGGGGTGGTGTTTAAAATCGTTGTCTAAAGAATGGATTCGCGTGTCCTTTGAAAATCTGCCTCCTTTCCTTTAAGCGTGTACCCCAGATGACCCTTCCGTGGATGTTTCGACGAGTGTCGTGCGCCATCGAGTGTGGAAACAACAGGGAGCGCAGTCGTGGCAAAAGAAGGCGGTTGTCACCGTAATATTTGGTGGTAATGGGGGTGGGCAGCCTAATGCTGTGAGCCCCCTTAGGGCCCCCTTGGCTACTCGAAGCATGCCGACGCATGCCCCCCCCCACCACACGGATAGTTTTCCCTCCTCGCTTCAGGATCGTTCCTCCACGCGCCCGTGCCTCGCAGCGCTCCAGGACACCCCGGTGTAAAAGGGCACCGTATCAAAAAGAAATCATTATTATTATGCTGCTGCTGTGTGTTGTCAATATTAACGTTCATTTAGGCCTTTTGACGAAAGGTGGCAGCAAAATGAATCGGCAGGAAGTGGCTTAACGATAACCAGCCGTGTGGATGCAGTGCCTAGTGTACAAGATCGTGATAATTCAGTGGTGAGTTCACATCTTGGTTGGTCCTTCCCTCCTTCCTTCAGAACAATTCGTACCTTTCACATTTGCGGCATTCTCCTAACGCTAAGCGATACCGAAGGTGTCGCGCTTCACAGGTACGTATAGTCTGCCGGTAAGGGTCGATGTTGAAATGTGGTTTTACCAAATTAGGTGATTCGCGAGTACAATACTTTTCAAATTGGACTAATCTGGACGTGACGCCGGCACACGTGGCCTGTTTCTTGTTAAAAACGTCACGGGAGATGTCATGTCTGCGGTGTAAAGTATCGCGATGCCCTCTTTAGTGGGGGTCGAGTTTTTGCTCAAAAAAAGTAAACAAAATGAATGAACGAAGCAGGCGGCCTGCGATAGTTCGGTGAAGACGCCCGCGGTATTTGGCAGGGCGGCAGCTGCTCGCGAACTGCGAACCTCTGCAAGAAGCGGCAAAGGTGCCATCTCCTGCCGCGGCTCCCAAACAAACAAAATGTTCCTTGGTGTGGGCAGTCAGCGGTGTTCGTCCTGAGCACTATCTCACCCTTGTCAAAGGAATGTGGAATTTCCACCATTGACTGAGAGCTACAGTCGGACACACGTGCTCAATTGCTTGCTTGTAGGAGCAAGAAAAAAGCTTTTGGTTTTTGAACCTACAATTTTATAGTCTTATTTATTTATTTTGTGTTTTTAGTCAAAAAAGAGAGGGAAATTCAATAAGGCTCAATATATATAGACATCGAAACCACATGATTCTCTCTGCCTCATTTCCCCCAGCAGGTGTTACACAGTGACATGCACCTGCCGAGTTGCTGCATCTATTTACCCGATTGCCTCCGACAGTCAGGTAGACAATTGTGAGGCCATTGTGCACACCAGGCAATGTGAGATGGGGTGTTTGTCTGTCTGGGCGTTCGTGCGTGCGTGCGTGTGTGGAGCGGTAGTGTAGTGGTTAGCGCTACGCCGCGCTATGAACCCGGCGACCAGAGTTCGATTCCCGCTCACGGCCAACACCGGTGACGATTATCTGAACCGGTCCTGGGCCTCCCCTAGGTCGACTCAGTCTCAAACGAGTATCTGGTGCGGTGTGTAAACATCGCCGCTGAGGAGACAAAGGCGGCCGGGCGTGGTGCTGGCCACCCACCCCCTCGTGTGCCGTGCCGGCTTTCATAGGTGCTCGCCAACAACGCATGCCCCCAACCGTTTGTAAAAGCTACATGGGGGATCTTTGTCTTTGTGTGTGTGTGTCCGCGTGCAGGTGCAACAATCGGACGCAGTGCATCGTGGTGGCGGGCAGCGACGTGTTCCAGGATCCCTGCCCTGGCATCTACAAGTTCCTCGAGGTCCATTACGAATGCGTCCCCTACAGTAAGTGGTGCCACGTCCACTCCCGCTCCCTTCATTCATAATCCACTCCAGACAGCTCCCATGGAAATGCTACTCTGCACTAACCATCCATGCGGTTATATTATTATTATTGTTGTTGTTACAACGAAAATGCCACGTGTGATGATTTTTTTTATTAACGGTATATGTTACCTAGCATGGAGAGTTTAGCATGTGACTGCCTCCCGTGTGTGTGCGCGCACGTACGAGCAGGCAAGCAAGCGTGTGCACGCGCGCGTGCGTGTGTGCGCGCGTGCGTGTGTGCGCGTGTGTGTGTGGGTGCACGCACCTGTGTGCGTGCGTGTGTGTGTGAGCGTGTGTGAGCGTGTGTGTGTGTGTGAGCGTGTGTGTGTGCGCGCGCATGCGTGCGTACGTGCGTGTGCACGCGTGGGCTCGCCGTGCCTCGAGAGCTGCATTATCTGAGTGGCGGTGCTGCTGGCTGCATTTCTATTTAAACGTCTGCATTTTGTCACACTATCAAAAGTTATGGCTCCCGCGCCGCCGCCGGGCTGTGCTGGATGGGGCTGCCGGTGGGGTTCACCGTTAGTTCCGCAACGCTCGACAGTTACGCCCCACAAGGGGTCTGCGAGGCCCCAGGCCGCTAGGAATGCCTCGTGATTTGTGGCCTCTCACGTGAGCCGTGTGGGCCGCTCTCTCGCAGGAGCGATTCGAGTCCACCGCAGGTGATCTCCCCCGCGCCGGGCGCCGCTGCCATCCTTAACGTGCTGTGCACGCTGTGGCGGCGGCGCGTTCCCCCCAGCTGCTTGCGACGGGGCGGGGAAAACATTCTGAGAGTCAACAGTTGGTTAGGACGGAAATTAAACTTGCTTGGAGGCGTGATTGTGTGCAATTAAACGGGAGAGAAAACAATTAGCTAATTTCATGCAAAGAATGCCGGTGATTGCAATTACAATGTTTGGGTCGCTTCATTTCTCAAATTTATAGATAGGGAAATTATGAATAGTGGATAATATAAAATGGTAATATCTTTGTTAATAGTAAAACAAATATTCTAGATCACACTGGATTAACTTCACGATATATTCCTTTCATGACACAAACGCCATGGACAATCCAGGTGCTGGCTCTGTCTCTCTCTCTCGGTGCCACGTAGATATTATTTTGTGTCCACGTGTGCAGAGCAAAGAGAATGGTAAGATGCCATGATGTGTCATCACCATCAATGTGTCCAGCAATTACCAAATTCGCTCCTGTGATTCGCACGGCTAATCTCTCCTCTTTTCTCCTTCCTCCTTAACATCTTCTCCCCCTGAAACCTGCCGCTAAAATGTAGGGCTGGAACAGAAAGGTAAAGGACGTTTACAAAATGCCATATAAATAAAAACAAAGCATCCTCCCCGTCACATACCCATCCCATACCCGTCCCTATACCCATCCCTATACCTGTCCCATTCTCATCCCATTCCCGACACCCCACTCCACCAGCCCATTTCCTCTCTGTGGGTCGATGATGGTGTGCCCCACCGCCCCCCCTGCGCCATGCAGACAGGCCCGATGTGCGTAGTGCAGTCGCAACTCATTTTGTGGGCTCCGTCCTGGTACACCGTGCCGTACTTTGACAGCGCCATTGCATGGTCGTAGCGCCCGCCCGCCTGTGCGCGTGCGCGTGCCTGCTTCGGTGCGTCTGTGCCTGTGCATGCGCTCGTGCCACGAACCCACCCCAGATGTCGTCTTTTGATCCCTGCATGAGCTTCCCCCGTACGAGCACGGGGGCCCATCCTGCGCCTCGCTCGCTGTCAATGTAAGCGCACAGACATGCCGCTCTCCATGCAGTTGATGGGGGGGGGGGGGTAGCGTTGTTGTGCGCGGGGACCAGGAGGAACCGCGGCCGGGGACAACGCCGCCGGGCGAAAGCCGCGTCGCGCTGTGCCCGACACAACGATGGCACAGCGCGTGTTCTTAAAAATGCAATACGGACATTTGTCAATCCGCTGTTGGATGGAGGGCCGCCCCACACGCTGTGTGGCCCGTACGGGTTGTGCTTGACCCTAATTCACGCACGCTGCTCTGTGTGGATCAGTGAAGGGGACGAGAGTGCGGGGAGGAGGGGGATCCAAGGACCGGATCAAGCATTGCTCACCGCCCGTATTAATCGTGGCCGGGAATTAAACTCGGGTCACAATGTGCATTATGCGTGGCGCTGCTAACCGCTGCGTCGACAGCTCTCCCCTCGTGATTATATAATGGGTCCAAATAATCTAAGATCATTTGAGGAGTGTTGATGCAGAGATTGATAGGATACAAAAGGAAACAAACGTGGCTCTTTAGTCGGTGTCTGCAGCGGTTTCTGCTGCAGACACCTCAACCTTGAATTTGTATCAGAAGCGCTCATGTCACACTTTGCCCCATGCATTCTTGTTATAAAGACGGCGAATGTTTTCTTTTTTGAGTGTGAAATGTTGTTTGTCCGATAAAATGTCTGTCAAAGTTCCCCCAATGAAATAATAACAACATGAAACCAAAGTACAAGTATGTCGACAATGCCGCAAAGGGAAACGTCGTCAAATATTAAAATCAGCGGATGTGCTCCTCTAGAGAGTCAAAAATGGAAGCCAGCGTGAGGGAGCCAATCAGACGGAGCGGAACTAAAAATGATGAAGGGACGTAGATGGGCACAATGCTACGGGATATACTCGGGCTTGTGCTGCGATGACACATGTGGGATTGTTGGGGGGGGACACAGGACATTTAGGGGGATCACCCCCCTGCGCTTTCCCATGAGTAAAACTTGTGGGGCTTTGAAACCATGCACACAACCACCGCTGTAGAACATTGAAGCATTGAGTTCTGCATCTCCTTTAATATGTACACAAGATTAAACAAATATTTTCAGATGTATTAAAACAGCCTTATTAATGTTAATGAAAAGTCATTTATAGATAAGATAAAGTTTTATTTCTTCGAGGTATATGTTAAACATATCCTTGTTAATGTTTAATAAATTCACTTTTAGATAAGGGTTAGGGTTATCATTCATCTCACATAATTGTTGTACAATAATAATGTTGAATAATTTGCACACCTTGGTTAATCCACTGCCTGGTGAAAGCCTCCTTGCTCTGTGCAGCGATGGAGGGTTGCTTCTACCAAACTTCACCATGCTGGTCATTGGGAGCTTGTGAAGGGGACGGAGAGCCATTGGAGGATGGGTGGGGGTGCAAGATCAATGCAGATACCACTCGCCACTGATGTTAGCCGTGGCAGGGATTGCAACTCGGGTCACCGGCTTCATCGCACACAGTGCGCTAACTATTGCACCACAACTCCACCATATGGCTTCTACTTGTCGTGAATATTTTATTTTATACCTACGTGACTTTACCGAAAGAACCAAAGAGTAGAGCATGAATAACATGTTAATGAGTACATTATTTTCAAGATGAGGGTTATGGTTGTTGGTAATATCACACAGAAGATTTCTCCGATATGCAAGATCCAACAGCTACTGTGGTTCACACATTCCCATTTTAATAATTTCATATTGAGCTTGCACCCATTCCAAGCTTCAGAAGAGGACAAATCAACCACCAGAGGCGGCTCCTCCTCCTGCGCCGCCACCGCAATGAAATAACGGAAATTCCTGACTGAAATCTGTTTCTGCTGCGTCAAATTCACAATACATCCCTTGGAAAGGAGTGTTGTTCTGAGAGCGGCAAGTCCAACCCTGCGGACTGCCAAACGCCTCTGCACCTTCACCACCCCAATATGTCTGGTAGAAATGTAACGATGATGCATCGATTAATGGATTAAAGTCAATCCTAGCAATTTGTGCATAGATTACAAGTGACCGCCGAAGGCGACACGCGGATGGCATTCCAACGTTGCGTTGAGGTTCGTGGAACAATCATAACTCTTCATATGGGAATTTATTTTTGTTTAGATGTAGAAACAATACAAACAATACGGTGAACAAGACGAACAAGAATCAATTCCCGATTTGACTCTGTGAGCCCCGAATCGTGACAGTATGGTACAAAGACAAAGATCCCCCGTATAGCCTGAACAGACTGTTGGGGCAAGTGCTGTTAGTGAATACCACCTATGAAGTATGGCACGACCTACAAGGGGATGGGTGATCAGCGCCACGTCCGGCTGCCTTCATCTCCCTCGTGGCGATGTTTACACACTGCACGAGGTGCACATTTTAGGCCGAATCGACCTAGGGGAGGCCCACAACCGTTTCAAATGACCGTCATTGGTATTGGCCATAAGCGGGAACTGAACCCGGATCGTCAGGTTCGTAGCGCAGCGCGCTCACCACTACCGCTCCTCACACACGCACGCACACTCCGTGCAAAACGCATACAGGACAGACCCGCACATTACAAACAAACACATGCATGCCTCATGTTCAGCGTGACTGAATCTGCAGTCTCAACTTGAGAAGCCTTCCCTCTCGAGCGATATCCTCCTTGGCGAAGGCCACACCCGGTACAGGTGGCTTACATACCCCCCGTGTGACATCTAACCGACAAATCTTTTTGTGTCATTCTAGGGCCCCGTGACTTAACACTGCACTGCGTGATTCATCTTCTCAAACCTCCCCACTGTGGCCTCAACTCGTCTATTCGGGCTTGAGTTGGAAGCTCCCTTTGAGGACATTCAATAGCTCATGTCGATGGGGTCACTTCTGACCACATGGCTATCAGCTACTGGCCCCTGCGGGATCAGGTTTTACTCCCTCTGAATTCCTTCTGTTTACGAATGATTTACTGCAAACAGCAAAATGTTACAATTGCTGTTTAGGTGGCAACGCAAGTCTCGGTAGCTCGATTCTGTTTTCAATCACATTCAACTCGTTCCCGACAAACCAATAGCTTGCAAACTTTCAGCAGCAGTAGCGAATTTCTCATCAATCCTCCCTCGGGAAGCTGACAAACGTCGCTTCGAATAAGCGGTGGAAAAAATCGGGTATTTTTCATTTTGTCCAGGAGAAACTTGGCGGCACTGCCACCACTCGCTCGACTCGTTAAGCTCACCGATCCCATCTCGTGCAACTTCCCTCGAAGGCGTCGGCCCCCGTGCGGTGCGTGATACCAGAGGACGTGACGGGAGGGCCAGGTCCTGTAGACAATACCGGCAAAATCAGGCTCTGGCCCGAGCAAGGCTATAGCGGCAAATCAGCGCCGCCGTCACCGGCGCTCCCCGATCAGACGCTCGTTCAACGAGGCAAAATTGCTCGTAAGTGCAGCAATCAGGGTGCAGAGAGCGGGGGGGGGCGGGGGGGGTCGCGGTAGTGCGCGCTCGTAGTGATTTAGTGAGAATGCGACACTTTGCAGAATCGGTGCCTTGAATGCGCGATGATGCCCCCACCCCCTCGCGCTGAGCGTGCGGCGAGCACCGCGCCGTTCACAGTAATTGCCAGGGCGTGCACGGCGCGTGTAGCGTGCACGGCGCGTGCCAGGCACGTGTAGAGCGCCCACTGTGTGACTTTAGCGCGGTGGGGGGCAGTGTGGGAGCTTGTGGGGGGGGGGGCACGGTTGGTTACGTACGATGCAAAAGAAGTTCAACGTACGTACAAAGCAACGGCTCTAATCAGATGAAAGTGATGCCAAGTTGTGGTAACACCGGTGATGGCATTGGCCATGATTTGAGTTCTTCTAATATAATATTGGCATTACCAGGATACTTAAACCCTGTAGGACTTGATATTGTACGTCGTCGCTTAACTGCACGAAGGTCAAATTACAGACGGCCTCAGAGAAGACAAAGAAGATTTGTGGTTCACAGCTCCGTGGAGCATCATGATAAAGCCAGGAATTCCATTCGAGAGCTCTAAATGACGGACAATGCCATCACCGGTGTTACCACAAGCTGTCATCGCTTTCGTCCCATTAGATCCTGAAAATAATTCTGAACGGGGAAGAACCGGATAAAGTTGTGACTCACAGCTCCGCTTGCAGGGTATTCACATGCCGAGCGGCAATCCTTGTAAGGGTTTAGCGGTGAGGGTTTGAGATTGTTGAGTGAATAAGGTCTGGAGTGCCCTTCCTTTTCCTTCTGATATTAGGAAGCCACTGGAGCTGTGCACTTTTAAGTCATCGAGATTGAAAACTAATTTCTTCTGCTGTTGTCCTTCCCCCGCGCCTCCGATTTGCACGGTTGGCTACGTACAGTGTGAAAGAAGTTCAACATACACACAGGTCTAAAATCTAAAACTGGTATCTTAATTTAATCTTCAGCCGAATGAAGAGTCGAATGTGGATGGGTGAACTGTATAATTAATCTCTGTCATGAAGACTGACGACAGAAGGAAACAAGGAGACGTTTGTCTGCAATTAGAGAGAC